TGGGTCCTCAAGGCGCTCGACACGGTGGACGCCAGTGAGCGGCGAGGAGCTAGCATGGCGGAGGGTGTTGATTGGTGAGTCATTAGGCGGCGGCGTGTATTGGGAATGGTTGTTCTGCAACTCGACGGTCTCTATGTGCGCAGCTCTTGTTGAAATCTTGCGCGAAGACGACGATTGAGGCGGGTTTGACGCCGAGTCGAGGAGAACTATGCGGATGGTGGAAGACTCGGCGCGTTGCTCTCCAAGTCAGCCATGGTGTCGACAGGCCGCGAACAGGTAATTGTGTGCATGTTCGTTGGATGTGGTGCGAGGGCGGCTGTCCAGCGTGGCCGAAGTGTTGGTGTTTAGTTCAAGAAAGATTTGAAGAGGTCCGGTCGGATTTCAAGCTATCTGAGTGGTGGATTGTGAAAGCAAGCATTACTGAGCTAAGCAAGTAAGCAAGTTTGCACGTGCAATCACATGAATTGGAAGTTTTGACTTGCCTCAAGCTTCACACGCAGAGCGCTTATTCATGGACACACTAGTGCTGCCAACTGAATCCAATATTACCTGTTCCCGTTTGCATAGATAAATTTCCCACGCTTCAATTTCATCCACATTAATTTCCTCACTATAGGCCATGAGTATTGTATCTCGCCCCGAGTACTACTACATCCCTCCCTGAAGCCCCGGAGCCAAAGACTAAGGAGGAGGACCTCCATGCCATCCCGCTGGTGGACCATGACTCCATCCATTGGGAGAGCTCGTCATGTTGAAAGGGCCATGCCATTCGGCAAATGGAAATGCTTGCCCTGTGTGATCGGTCAGCGAATCACTCCAGCTCGTGGTGACACTTCCAATCTCCTACTGCCTTGGGTCGAGCTCGACGGAGTCGATGCTGTGATTGATGCGACCGGTCGATCGGTCGACATTGTTGCCATGCTTGAAATTGACAGCTCTGTGGCTTCATTGCTTACGATGGAGGAGCCACGGACTGTCGCTTGTCCGCCGAGTGGAGCCAGGGAGATAGTCGAAGGCAAACTCATACTCGAAGCGGAGGCCATTTTTGATACTTTGCTTGAATGCAGAATTGTTGTGCTCTCAAGGTACGAAGTCGACAAGATCGTTGGCGTCCATTCCCTGCTTGTTCGCGAAGCAGGCTTGACGGCTTGCTGCGAGCTTGGACTCGCACTTTCTGGTTTGACCACCGTGGTCGTCGTCTGGAGATAAGACTTTGATGTTTCTTCCAGGGCACTTTCGGCTTTAGCAGATTGAGGCTGGGATGTTTGAGAGGTTTCCATTGTCGAAGGCTTATTGATAGGCAATGTCGTGGTGGTGGTGGTATGCAATGTTCTCGTTATTGTACTATGTACAGTCGTTGTGGAACGGTCTGTGGGACTTGACCTGCTGTATGTAATAGAAGATACTGGGTCTGCAGTTTCGAGTTTCTCGGAGCTCAGATTTGGTGTTGACGTCGACGACTGCTGAGTTGTCAGGTGCTGCGTTCTCGAAAATATGCTGTTGGGCTGTGATGGAGTACTGCTAGTGGTCGAGATACTTCGTCGCTGCTGGTAGATCCAGACTTTTTGCTGAGGATCGTTGTCCCTGCTGGCGATAGAGAAGATGAGCCGCTGCTTGCAGGGTACGGGTATACCCAATCGCCACGGCCATCACTTTCTTTATGCCTACCGACCACGAACACGACCGGCATTATGATCAGAATCGCAGCCAAGACTGCGCAACCGGCCATTATCGTCCACCATTTCTTGCTCCGCTTTTGGCGCCAATTGCTTCTCGCCCTATGGTAATCGCCGCCACGCAGCGTCCTCGGCATGTGGCCGACCCCGGCATCGAATTGATATGCGGGCCCCGGTCTCCGAGCAGCGTCGTTGCCTCGCAGCTCTTGCTGAAACAGATTCGTGTATCGTGATAGACTATCCGAGAAGTGGGGAATTTGGCCATTGGCCGCCACTCGCGGATGCCCCCCTGACAGATAACCGTAATGAGGCAGTATTTGCCCGGTGGCAGATTCGTAGTCAGTCCTGGGCACATCGACGTTCGCGAGCTTTGGCGCTCTTCCGCCGGACCCTGGTGGCGAATTCATGGAGTTCTGGTCGTAGTTTGAGGGTGATGGAGGGGAGATCGGAGAAGTCCTGGAGTAGGGTGTCATGGTGTTCGCAATGGATTCTCGTCACTTCAGTCCTTCCAGCCGATCTGTAGGTAATGGAAGAAAAGCCACTGGATTTGACGGCAGGATGCGCGCGCATCCATCACGCGACCATCACCGTTGCCAGCGAAGCAGTGGCGAGCATCTTACTCCCGCATCGTCAAGCAGGTGCACAGCGCATTAACGCCATGGGCCAAAGGATTGCTCCTTCCTTCCTTTCTTCAAGTTGCCACATCGACAGCTGTACCACGTATTTCTCTACTAATGTACAGATATTGCAATCATAGACTGGTACCAAGCGCAGTAAATGGTGTCCGATTGCAAGAGATCTTGGAAGATATGGTCTTGAACTCGACCAGCTACAAGCAGATGGAGGTGATCTCCTGAGGTCTTCCAAGACGAGTACCTGGCTGGCACAGCGCTTTGGTAGATAGGGCACCAAGGAAAGCCATGGAAATGTAGCCAGTAGGTATTATCAGCCCTACAGTGGTCGATGGTTATAGAAAGCCGTGACATAGATGGACTGGCGAATTGCACGATGAGATCCTTCAACTTTATAGGTCAGAGAGTGAGATTTACTGCTGCTATGTTGAGTCTGAGGGAAATCTGACCATTCTCAGCAGGAGTGCCTGGATTCTGGTTGTGGGACCCAATTGGAGGAGGCAGCTTTGCAATAAGCATATTTACTCTGCAGAAAACCATGTGCATCTGATCAGATTGATGATTCGGGGGGCTCAGAACGGTCGCAACGCACTCGACAGAGCCATCACTGGCCGGGGAAGGTGTTGAACGGTTCATGCCAGTGGTCGACACCCATCTGCTAATCATCCTCGGGCCCTGTGTATGGCAATGCGCTCCAGGAGCTCCCGTGTATGCTTGCAAAGAGTACGAGGGTCTTGCGTGCTGGGACGTGGACACGGCGCGTGTGTTCATGTTGATGGCGTTGATGAGTGAGGTCTGCGAAATGTTGCCCAGCCGTCGTAAACACACTACTTATTTGGACTAGCGCAAGTACTAGCTTGCGTTAGCGCCAGACTTTGTAGTCGTCCACTACATATACCTCCTCATGTCCATCACTGGATCACAGGAGGTCTACAGTAACAGCACTATAATCTTTTGCCTCACCTACCTCAATTTGGAAACGGCTTCATAGTTAATGTCGATCCAACGGCTGTCGCCCGACTGACGACATGCGAACTGAACAAACTGATGGGTTGTCAGGACTCATAGGCGTCTACCACACGCAAAGCTTCGTCGACCACAAAGGACTAACAGCCACTCGAGGCGATTCTCTGACAGTGACGATTCAATCCAAGAGCCTTCTATCTTACAGCCTCCATTGACGGCCTGGATCGGAGAATTACGTTGAGGTGCCAAGGCTAAAGCCCGAGCATCAGGACTATATGGAGAAGATGGTGCTAAGGTTGAAGGGGTGCAGGGAGGTGAAAGATTGGTGGGGAATGGTGTAGCCATGGTGTAACTCGAATTGGCCTACTCTTAGACGTTCCGTGTCGAGCTAAAGGCCAGGCATGGTAAGTATAGACTGTCGATTCCCCTTTCTTGTATTCCCCGAATAACGCCATTTCTTGTATACTTCGGAAAACGGCATCTCCCAAACCCCAATTCAGCGCCCAATGCTCAAGTACGGCAATCGCCTCCTTGCTACACGCCGACCATTGATATTGCGGCTTTTGGTAAGATGAGCCTTATCGAGACCTGAGAGCGCCGAACATTAGCCCTGCCGCAAGGACTCCATTTCTGCAGATCAAGTCCGGACGGAGTCCTTCATACTGAAACCCAGCCTTCTTCAACAATTTCTGGCTTGCGAGATTGTCCTCCCTCACCTCGGCACTGATCCTCACAAGTACGCCAAAGGTCCTCCAGCACCAGCCGACCATAGCTGGGACTACCTTACTCATGATACCTTTACCCCATTGCTCCTCGCCTATCCAGTGCCCAAGCTCTCCCGTCCGGAAGTAGATGTCGGCCTGCATCTCGAGTCCAATGCCACCCACGGCCTCGTCATTTACTGTGATAGCTAAATTTGGGCATATGCCGGGTCCTTGGCAGCCTGTCTCTGGATACCATGGCCCGGACTTGACGTGGTTAGCTTTGTCCTGGCAGAAGTTGATCCACGATTGCGCGTGCTCCTCCGTATAGGGATGAGGGATGCGATTTCGGAGATTGTTCCAAACATTGATGTTGTTGAGGTCCGGCTTGATGAGCAGGCGTCGGATGAACGCCATTCGCGGACTGCAATGCCATCACCTAGCTCCAGCACCGTCTTCACTGTGGCTGTAGCGGGATTATGTCCGACTTGATCCATGTCGTTGGTAATGGTTCCTACCGATCGATGATCCGATGGGCTGGGCGAGGTGGTCGACTGCGCGATCCTGCAATTGACTGCTTGGATAGCGTCTTATTTGCTGCTTGTTGCGGCTGATGGACAGCTAGGCCAGGACGACAATATGAGAGTCTGCTCTTGGCGACTATTCAGTCAATCGAACGAATGGTCGATAGAAACATTAGTTGTTGTCAGCTTTCTCAGAAGTATGAGCTGAACAGAACGTCGACAGCCGCAATCTCAGCCGCCACTATGAGTCAAAACCGCCGATGCAGCTAAGCGTCCTCCCAACCCCTCCGAATGAGCAGAGATATACGATATGCGGCGATTGATGCTCGGAGTCTGTGCTGCTGTAACAAGGAATGATTGAGTATGATCTCGAGATGCGGGAAAGCAAAAAAGAGGTCGGGGTTTTCGCCGTGGTCGAACAGGGGCAATCGTGTCCTGAAGCAGGGACCCAGAGCGATCAGAGACGTGCAAAAGAAATGAACTCAATGCGGAGCTCTTGATCTCCTCGTCAGGGAATCGAACCCCTCGCAATGAATGTTAGCAATTGCGATGCATGAGGAGGTGGAGGTGTACTCACTGGTCTCCCGCGCTTTGCAATCTTGCGATGACAAGCGGAAATCATAGCCACTAGACCAACGAGGATTGCATAGCAATACCTGGATTGGAATCATGGTGGCCGGTCAGGAAGATTAATAGAGAAAGCAACACACGGCATCTTCCGGATATCAGCCAAGCTTGCTAGCCCAATTAGGAAGGTGTGACGATCGAACTGTCTGCCAGACATTATTGTTGAGAGCATTGTGGAGGTATCCTGACATTGTGGTGAGGGACTGAGAACATGCTTCTTCGTGAGTCAGTCCGCACGAGCGCTGGCCGTCCAAGTGATGTCGGCGCCAGTATCATTGTTGGCGCTCAACAGATCTCAATTATCTGGTACATTCGCTACTGTAATCCATGCCCTCTGCACTTGCACAATATTGGTATCCAACTGAATCATCACACCACCAGCGCCTTGCTAAGACCAATCAATATGCACAGCCGTCATCACACATCAACGCCATATAGCCGCAACCATGTCCATCACGACTCAACAATGCTTCTCATCAACCATTTCTCCCACCACCGTCGTATGCCCAGTACTGTATCTCGCCCGTCGTCCCGCTTGTCCATGCCTGCCGGATCGCCAAGTATGGCTGAGCATAACCAATATGCAGCGAGGACCCAGGCCATGAACATTACGCCCAAGCTCATGAACGGCGATAACATATGGACAGTGATCAACATAGGTGTGTGATATGATGTGTCCTCGTTGGCGTGTGGTGGTAGCGGTGTGTAGATGCATCGAAGTTGGAGATTGAGTGCTGGTCCGAGCAGTCCAGCCAATTGTTGTCCAAAAGAGAGCCGTCTGGCACATATCCGGACCGGCTGTGACAGGACCGTGATGAAGAGTGACAGGCATGTCCACATCGTGTTGAGAACAGAAAGCAATACACACGGGCCAGACAAGAAAAACAATATCTTGACAGCGTTATCCTCCTGAGATCTCCTGCCACCAGAAGCACCACCCTCCTCGTTGGCATCCGACAAAGAACCAGAATCTCCTGCGTAGTGCATCTGCTGCGATTCATTCCGGGCATGGCTCATAGCTTTTTCTGGATCCCTGCTGGCTCTGCTTGCCCGCGACGGTGCCTGCTCACTCGCAATGCTGCTCTTCTCAAGGTCAACAGACGAGGGTGGTGTTGTCGCAAAGGTCGAGCCGCTTTCGACAGAGGAAAATGAGCCAAACATTCCCGAGACAGTCTGCTGTGACGAATCGCTATCATGCCGGTGGGCTATGTAACGGTATGCTCTGCCCGGTAGTTGTCTTTCAGCTTGCGCGGAGCGCGAGGTACCCCTTAGTATCTGTGCACATGGCGGAGGTGCACGAATGGGTACTGGCAGAGAGCTGGAGCTGGCGAAAGGCTCCTGAGTCTGAGGGTGAAGGAAGTATTGCCCAGGAGTGTCAGCGCTTGGTGCCAAGACCGTCTCGGACATTGTATAGGTAGCTATGTTACACTGTTCTCGTGCGCAGGAGGATTCCAATGGGGGTCGTTGTCGGCATGGATAAGTACAGCAGTGCCATGGGCGGCTGCGAATTGTAGAAGAACAATCATACACTTGTTATACTTGCATCACCACCACCTTCGCCGCGCTCTTGGCGACTAGGCAATGGTAATAACCTGCTGGTCATGATGAACACTACCGGCTGAGAGGGCTCTGCCAAGGGCACTTGGGACTTGGCACCAAGACTTTGCTGCGAGTTAGTCTGTAAAGGGCCCCGCCTAGCCCAGGCTTATGATCCGACTGTGCGCACACGGTGCTCGGCCGAGGGCGGGTGCCCAGACATTTGCGACAGCATTCTGTCGCCCTGTTTCCCCGCCGGCGGCGGACGGCGGTGATGTGCGGTGGGTCACCTCTGTTTTTCCTTCGAATCCGGCGTCACGGTGCGGACGCCGAGCTGGGAAGGAGGTGTGGTTGCTTGAGGCGGAAGTACTGCGGATCATGGCGGCCGCATCAGGCCGTAAACCTTCACTGGTCCCAAGAAGCTATATATTGCCATTTCACGTGGGCATCTCATAGTATCGACAGGGAACTTGTTTGAAGTCATTTTGTGCGTCTCGTCCCAAGGGCCAAGCTGCATCGGCCAAGCGATCCGTCGCAGAGGTGTCCGGCTTTGTGGACAGTGGACGAACTTCGAACATCGTTGGCGATTTGAGACCCACATTGGCGTCCATTTGCTTGTCTGAACGGTCAATAGTGGCAGATCTGGTGTCTAGATTTCTCGTCCAATCCAATCGTCGGATTCTGATGGTATCTGGTTTGAAAGGACTGCACGGACGCAAAGCAGCCAATGAACCCCCTGTTTTAATACCCATGCTTTCCACGGACGAAAATTCAAGGGGCCATCGGTATCATATTAACCGGTGACCACGCCCATCACCGGCCTGTGTGACACCACCCTATTTTACCGTACGCCTCATCCTCGTACTGTTGACTGTGGAGACCGAGACGGGCCCCGAGACGGCAGCAAAGATCCCGATCTGGAAAAAGTTCTTCAACACAATCCGCCAGGAGTTGGGAGATGGCAGTCTTCAGTGATCTCGGTAGCACGCAACGATTTCCCCAATGGAGTTCACCAGTCTGCGACTTGCACTCCGCGGGATATATGATGGATAGGATTATCTTGAGCGGCGGCACACGTTGGATGTCTACAGTCTTCCGTGCCGAGTCTGCTGTCAAGCCTCGGCCGTCATCTCTAAGGGATGTTTGGCTGTCAGTCGTCGACTGACCTCGCAAGAGACTTCCCCTGACTTTCACTCCTCCGTCAGCCTTTCCCTCCTAAAGTCGCATTTCGCGCCTCACTCGGCTGGCGCCTGTCAAGTTGCCATCCGTGCGGGCATATTTATATAGAGACCAAAGGATGTTGAAGAAGCTGGGTGGGCCGGCCGCAACTGCGACTATCGGCAGGTACGACCGTCGCAGGCAAGTACGACAGAAGCATTCTTTCCGCTCCTGACTTCCCACGGTTGTCAGGTACTTACAGACAGTCTTCGGATTGGCCAAGGAATCACACATCTCGAATGGCGCCATTGAAACCTGTGAAGAAGGACGGCGCCGACAAGCGCGTACAGCAAGTTCTTGGTGAGGAAGCCAATTTGTGCACCACCAGCGCAAGACGGGCACTAACACAAAATCTATCAGAATATGCCGACAGGACTGCAAGGCTGCTACAGGACCGCTCTGCCGTTCCCGCGACCTTGGAAGGCGAATTGGACTCTTTCATCAGGCGCTCCTTTCCATTACCGCCATCGTCTGCGCTCGCTGGCAAGTCTTCAGTCTTGGACGAAGCTGGCAGTCGCATATGGAATGGCGCGACCAATCTGTTGCGTGCCGACGAAAACCAGGGCCAGAGTCAGAATCAAGACAGCCGAAATGGCGATCTGACACGCTTGGTCGCTTTGCTCCGAGTTTTGGCGTACCTACTCATAGATGCGGCCCAGCATAGCTCTTCGCGTCGGAGCAAGGACGACGATAAGCGTATTCGCACTTTCAAGCTCGCTCTGAAGGCCTGCAAATTTGCTCTGGCGAAGGCTGATCCTGGACTGGCCATGACGGTGCTGGAGCGATGCTCAGAGTTCGTGACACAGGCAGAAGAAGACACTCCGGTCGTTCGCATAGCGGACAATGAGGACGCTGGTATTGCAGACCATCGAGTACGTGTGGAGCGACTGGTGGCCGAGTTTTACCTGCTTCGCATGGCCCATGCTTGCAAATCCGAGCGCTTCGACATGGCGGAGCACTTTTTCGGCAAGGTCAACAGCAGACTACTGGGAGCTTCACCATCGTTGGCTGAGGTGGCTGCCGATATGTACCATGATGTTAGCAAGTCACTCGTGGAACGAGGCATGGCGCAGCCCGCTCAGAAATGGTGTGACCGTGCTTTGTGTGCTTTGGACGGATGTGAGGTGCAAGACCTCAGTCAAGACGCTCCGGAGCTTCGGCTGGCAATCACATCAACCGCTGTCGAATTGCTAGCATCCTCACAGACAGCCGACTCCCGTAAACGTGCACTGACACTGCTAGATCAGCTTGAGTCCGCATATGGAATGAGCAACCGTGTTGCGGTGTCATTGCTGCGTTTCCGGGTGCTCACGACGACAGAGACCGTCGACTGCTTCAGCGTACGAAAGGTGCTTGCCCAGATGATCCGGCTGGCCGTCATGACCAGCAAAAGTTTCAAGAGCATAATGCAGACAATACACAAGGCAAGGTCTTGCAGCGCTGAGGTAGCGCTTCAAGCGTTGCAACAGCTGATCAGCATGCGCCTGGCATGCGATGTTTCGCCCGACCTTGGTGAGGATGCTGGGAGAGAACGGATGGAGAAGGCGTTCGTGACATATGTAATGTTTGCTACCAGTTCGTCGGAAATACCAGAAGCTGCCAGGGTCGAGGGCCTGCAAGCCGTATTGGACGACACTGCTCGCCAGACAAAAGCCGCACTGTCTGTCAAAGCAACTCATGCGGCTCAGACTCTGATCTGGAAGGCAGCCGGAGTCGCGGGCGCGGTATTGGCAGACGAGTGGTGCAAGCTCCTGAGACATGCCATCTTCGAAAGTGCAGGCCAGACGAATAAGGCCAAAATTGGGAGAAAAGCAATGTTGACTGCCATGGATCGTGGTGAATATAATGCAGCTATCGAAGCGTTCTACGAGATGTCGCCGGAAGCGCAGAACGACAGCAACACAAGGTATTTGGCGTTCAAGGTCGCTCTCGCCACTAAGAACCAAGACCTCGCTCAGGAGTGCCTCAGTATTGTCATCAAGCATGCACACAAAGATTCAACCTTCCTATATGCTTGTGTTTTGGAGGCACAACAGACCAATATGAGACACTTGGTGCTAGCAGCCATGCATGCATTGCTTGAGAAGCAGCCTGCAGGCCTGCATCTACCCTCATTACTGAGATGTATGGCTCGTTTACTGGTTGGCGCACTCGACACGCGCGAGTGCAGTCTCGAAGAAGCTGTAACCGAGATCGTGCTACTTTTCGAAAGTGCGGCCGACAACATCAAGGTCTTTCGACAAGGCACGGACGAACAGTGG